CATGAGCCTGACCGAACAATCGTTTCAAAATTTCTCTAGCTCTCTTATACCCAAACGTAGCCTCCATCATTACACACCCTTCAATGGCTGCCTTCGCCTTACCCTTGCAATAATGGAGCAAATATATTAAACGTTGACTATCGTCAGATACTCTAGCCGCAACGTAAGTATCGTATTGTTTTATAAACTTCCAATACTCCTTCGGTTTTCCATCAAAATAACACAGCTCAACTTTCGGTAGCTTTAACCCAACCATAGGAACCTTAGGTATTGTGCCCGAAACTGCATGCCCAATTCTTTCCCCACTATCTAAACTGAGATCCGCTACCTTATCTAACATTAAGTCACTATCACTATAGCTCTCCTTAAATACATTAGAACCATGAGGCGTAAAGACATCAGAAAAAACTTGCTTTGTACCAAGGGATTTGTCGTTAACCTTGTCTTCATCCTCTCCGACCAGCTTAGGGATTGACTTCCTTGCACGATTGTTGGGCATCTCGAATTATCGACCAATTTTTGTTCAGGACTGTAAACGCGGACCAAGCTGCTAACCGACCAATATTTGTTCAGAACTATAAGTTCTTCCAAGCAGCCAACTAATATTTTTTTAGAACTGTAAAATCCAGACCTAAATTCCAATAGGTCTGGATGTGGTTGAATAACTACAGCAAAAGTTTAGAAACTCATTAAAATTGAAATCAAAATAAAGTGTTTTCGAGTAATAACGATTCTAAATTTCATCATATATACAAATGTACAAATTTACCTAAACAAATATTACTACCCAGTTATTCAACCGACAATTGACACCAAAATATTTAATCTTAATTACAATGAATAGCAAAGTGGTAAGAAATATATGAAAATTACCGAAAACACCAAAAGGTAAGCGTTATTCTATCCTTTCTGGATAGATCAAGTAAGATTCCGTTTGAGAGGCTGTTTTATAACACAAAGTGTTTCAATTTCTGGAAAAGTGCTCCAAATTACAACCAAAAATGCACGATCCCAGTCAAAATCAAATCGCACAATCAAATAGCGAGCAGTCAATATGGCAGCCTACAAAATAATAGAAAGTAAAACAAACTAGATACAGTTCAGTAAGGAACATAGAGACTCAATAAAAAACGATAGTAAAACCAAGAAAATTAAACGTTACAGTCTTAATTAACATCAAAAATGTTAACAACATATACAAATAAAGAACACTTAAGGAAGTAGTCACAAATGTATGCTTGGAGGGATTTTCAATTGCAAAATGAATCCAGCAAACTGTTCAATCACAGGCTCCACACTGACGCCAGTGTAATTATTAGAGATACTCGAATCAATGTGATGACTAAGAAATTGTGCAATTTCAGCCTGGTAGAACTAGATGGAATGAACATATTTCATTTGAAACTTATAATCAGTCGGTAATCGAATAAAACAGAAATCATTAGTTCGCACAAATACTGCAATAAGTTCGTAAAATTTTATAAACTACATTGGATCAAAAAATAATTTCACAATTAATCGTTCATAGAACTTATATACAATATATATCCTTTCTAAAATAATAAAAGCCTTTTGGCTCAACAAAAATACGGATTTACATCATATTATTAAAAGCTTGATATTGCAATTTTCATTTACCACTTTTAGTCGGCATTGAGTCGCGTTTGACTATGATCACCACTACAGAAAGGTTGCGTGCCAAATATTAGGTTGGATCCCTCTGTAGGCCAAAAACCAGAAGGCAGCTGACAGCTGTAATAAGATATATTTGTTGACTGTCCCATGGTATCGAAAGAATACAGAGATCGTGCCAAAGTTTACAAGTGGAACTACCGCGCGTACTCGAGATCTTTGAAGGTCACAGGCAACGGAAGAATGTACGTTTTCGGCAGACTTAAACAAACAAGTACAGTGAAACAATCACTGGTACGATTGGTTATAATAATAAATGTTTCCGTCATACCAATCGCTTTCTCGTCATAAAAGTGGGTTACCACGCACTCTTCTATGTCCTCACGAACCCTTACCTCTTTATTCATAAAATATATTATAAGACAACATCAGGAAGGAAATAATCCTTTTCTACCAGTTCTTATCACTGCTCTACATTGATATATATGTGCAATCACCCTCCTGGGTCGCTAAGACCCCGACTAACCCACTTTCCTTTGCAGGTCGCTCAAGACGAAATATCGTTACATAGTGTAGACAGCTGTGAAATGACAACCCTCTTCATATCTCTAACAGGACCCTTTATATGAATATTAGTAGAGATTTATAATGAGAAGCTAACTGGAAAGAAATGTTTCTTCTATCCAATGCGAATGGAAAATTTCACGTGACTGATAAACTTAGAGAACCAATATTTAAAATTCGTCCTAGATTTGTCTTTGTTTCATACGAAATACGTGTTTTCATTTAAATAAAATTTTGGACTTACTGTTTTAGACATATTTACACTAAAACTGTTAACTGCATGCTTTATGTAGCAGCTAGCTACATCAAAAGATTTAAACACATAAAAGGTATTAGAAATGTTAGTGTATTAATTTACATATCCATGACAAACATAAATTTCGTTGAATTCCCCTTTAGCAAAAATGAGTGATAAGTATAAGCCTTAAATAAAAACTATATCTGGGAAAAGACAATTCAACTTTTAAATTCACCTAATAATATTTGTTTGAATCATCCCATTGATGTGTAGTGACCGGTTTGCCTCGACAAGAACACGATTGAAATAATCGAAACAATTATTTCTATTGGCAAGCAAAGATGGATAGTGGCTAGCAGTGGAATCCAGGAAGCGCGTTTCTTCCTATTTGGGACTCGTCACCCGGATGTACCTGCATCTCAGAGTTGATGTTCACTCTGGGACTGGAACCCAGTACCTTTCGCTTCAAACGCCATCGCGTTATCCACTCAGCCAATGAGTCCTGATAGCCACTTGCTTGTGCGGTGGGGTGAAGTTTAAATTCACTTAGTATTGTTCGTTTGAATAGGACGAAACGAGCTTCCTGGATTCCATTGCTAGCCACTATTCATCTTTGCTTACCATGCTTGTGAATTAAGGCTATATCGAGGCAATACGCACAGTATGCACATATGCCAATTAGAGACTGACCAGTTGCAGTCCTAACACATCGATGGGAAGATTCAAACAAACAATACTCAGTGAATTATTTTCATTGTAAACAATTGTACCAGCGATTGTTTTACTGTACTTGTTTGACTGCATCAAACTCACTTCTTGTTCCGCTATCCGCTTGTTTGGTTCGAACTTTCGTACGCTCTGCCCATTTTGCCTGTACTCGTTGGCACTTCTCGGTATTCTTTCGATACCACGAGATCGCCAATAAATACAATTTATCTGGACCAATTAAAGCCTTCTGGTTTGCGAGTAATCGAAAAGACGAAGTCGTTTCTGGGCGCGTAAACTTAGTGTAGTGGTGATCATAGTCAAACTCGACTCCATCTGCAGATGTTTAGGACTGCAGCTGGTCAGTCTCTTATTGGCATATGTGCATAATGTGCATATCGCCTCGATATTGCCTTAATTCACAAGCATTATAAGCAATGGGAAGATTCAAACAATTAATACTAAGTGAATTTAAACTTTACCCCATTGAGCAAGCAAGTGGCTATCAGGACTCATTGGCCGAGTGGATAACGCGATGGCGTTTGAAGCGAAAGGTACTGGGTTCCAGTCCCAGAGTGAACATCAACTCTGAGATGCAGGTACATCCGGGTGACGAGTCCCAAATAGGAAGAAACGCGCTTCCTGGATTCCACTGCTAGCCACTATTCATCTTTGATTATAATTCAACTTTTAGTTTGAAAACCCTAGTACATAATCATGATATTGTTGACTGAGATTATATTAAAGTCTGTAATATCTTAATTGACCTTAAAGTCTCGTTATTTCCTCCAAAAAGATGGAACTACTTTGCATTTCTAATTTTTGTGGAAGATGGAGTTATACTTTACCTTCAATAAAGTTAATTCATCTGATGTTTTTGATGAAACGTAATTTACTTAATAAGTACAGATTTATGTATCCGGTATTACCTTACACATTCTGTATAAGGGCTAGTGATACTTTTTGGCTTCTCAAGCTGATTTTGAAAGAGTGGGGCTAAAACAAAGGAAGTGAGAATCTAAAAAAAAAAAATGAATTCTCCAAACATAAAGCCACGTAGAAAAGACACCACAAAAGTAATTAGAATAATGTAATACTAATTGATTCACTTTAATAAGTAGAAACCTTTAGAAGTACATACTTCAGTTATTAACAATGTATAAATTGCAGCTTTATAAAACTAAGTCTCCACCATTATTTTAATATTTCAGTCGTCGAGCTAATTATTAAATTATATCAAGTTAGAAAATCTGTTTTATAAAAATCAGTATTCTTTCACTATGATAATTGTTCTTGAATAAACAGTGGTCAAAACCAAGAGCTAATTCATGTGAATATAAGAACTTTCATCTTAATTAGAGCGAATAGTTTCACACTATTTGGGCGCCAAGTTGATGTAAGACATTAAATAGGAAGAAGAATATATTTATAAAATCTCAGCGAATGATATTTTCTTGAAAAATCTTGGACCAAATTACCAGACGAAACGTTGGATTTACTTCAAATTCATTCCCTGAGATTTTACTAATACATATTCTTCTTCCTATTTAATTCATATGGAAATGTTTAGAATTTATTTCAATCTTCGATGCCCTTTTCACAAAGAATTGACTTTAAAAACTCATCTTCCATAAAACAATCACCTTGTTTAAGTACCTGTAAAAAGAACTGTGATCCACAATGATCTACAGAACATTATTTCATGAGATTGAAATCGTCTTTATTTTCAAAAAAATGAAGCACAGCTTTCATGAAGTTTACTTATCCTAGTAATTCAGCATTAAATTGATATTCTCATATAACAGAGATATAGTTGAAAAGTACTGGAATTATAAAAACATCTATAAGTCCTTTTTGACAATTATTCAATTTCTTCGTCAATAGGTGATAATAAAGCCCATACAACAGGTCTACTATCAGGTACATACATAATATCGATGTCACAACAACAGTCATCACTAAGTATTCCTTGATATGAGAAGGTATTTAAGTAAGTTTCTTCATCCCATTGAAGAAAACTGCAGCTGCAATTAACGGAATTAGTGGAATTGCATTTGTCCCAGGGACAGAATAAGACAGTGCCCAATTGTTCATGATTATCAGTAGATTTATCTGTTAGTGATGAGTTCCTTGAATGATCACTTTTCATACGTTCTTCACAAACCATAGTTTGATATAACTGACTACTTTTTTGAATATTCTGTAATTCCGAATCAAAAATACCACGCATTATCGTATTCACTTCACTAATGCATGAAGCATTCTGACAGCAATTATGTGGAACCTCAGAAGACCTATAGTGAATAGACGGTGAGGGTGTTGTGAATATATGGGATTGATAACAGTCAAAAAATGGTGAACTATTATTATAACAAGGTGGAAGACAAAAATCTTGCGAGTAGTCACAAGAGCAACAAACCCTAAAATCTTCATTCCCCCATTTCCCATGGAATGCCTTCTGTACGGATGAAGTAGCGACATCCTGAGTGTTAACACTAGGTGAACAACATAAATTTCCAGGTATCACACGAGAGATATTTTTATGAAAATGGTTCGAAAACCCAGTAGACTCTATGTCACAAGTGTCCGCTACTTCAAACTGTGAGAGGAAATTTGAGGAACTTGGTAAACTTGAACGAACAAAAGATAATGATTCTATACTATTACGATATGTATTTTCACTAAAATTACTTGGACTAATATCTGACTGTAAATCTTTGCTAAAAGCATCACCAATTACATTTAGAGTCTTTACACTCTGTTGAGCAGAGAATTCCGGTGATGAAACTTGTTGATTTGTAGATTTATTATCAATGAGTACATTAAAATGTGTATGTTGTTTTGTAGTTGGGTTGATAAAGAACGAATCATCTGGTATCATATGTTTAGTACTCCCATAAAGATGAAGAGATTTAGTTTGTCTCTTTCGATAAGAAAACTGAGAAGAACCAATTGGTGATATTTCGTCATGGTTTAACACTGTTTGTAGCTGAGACGTGTCATGTGACAGTCCCATCTGCTCCCCAGAATCAGGCCACATGGTGGTCACAATGTTTTGTTTGATATTTTCAGTTGATTGAACACTTGTTGTTTCACACCTAGTATGACTTCTCAAAATTTCATCATTTTCCTCATTCTCATCAATTATGTTTGTTTCCATGTCTGTATCGACATTCATTGTTTTCTTTATCGGTTCAGTAAGTTTTATTCGTTTACACATTGAGTTAGAACTGATACGTCTATTGTCGATTGAAGTTAATAGAAATACATTTTCACTTAGTTTTGGATACAATGAAAATGTTTCTTTCATTTTAATGAATTCACAACTTGGTTTCATATAAGAATATTGGGTTTCCTTTTTAACTTCCTTACACATAGTTGAAACTGCAGTTGCAAGGTTATCCTTAATCATATGTAATCTTAAATTTTTCAAAATAAAAGGTCTAATTAATTTTTTCTTTAATAAATCAATGTTATCATTTATCTTGTCAGATATTTGATATTGTCCGGAATCGACTCTAGTTAATGAATGTGGAAGTTGATTTCTTTTTGTTCTGTCAGAAATGATATTTCCTAAATCCGTTTGAACAAAATCTATCCTGTTCTTACATATATACTGTGGAAATACTGAAAATGATTGGTCAATTGTAGTTTCATTCGGATAAATCTTCGTTAAAATAACTAATGGTTTTGATGATTCAATAATAGAAGATAATGATTTGAATGTTAGAAATAGAGATTCAATTTTGTAATCATAGATCATTTCATGATCTTTGTAATCTATTCTACGATATTCTATCTTGATATTTTGTGTAGAATAAACTTCTAGAATGTTAATATTCACTTTATTTTCATATTTCAAGTTACCAATGAAATTATTTATACTTTGAGTTAACATATATTGCTGTTGTTGTGGTTGATTACCGTACATTAAATACATAGTGTATAGAGATTCACAATAACTCCAACTTCCAATCTCTTCGTAAACTTTTAATCGATGATTAAAATTGATTCGAGAATTCAAGATCGTTTCATCAACTTCCATATCATCATCAGTAGCATCATCATCAATGTCATCGATAACATTCATAACAATCTGAAGACAACTTTCATTAGAATCAATTAAATCCGTCAGAAAACAACAATGTGAGGTTGCTAATGAATTACTATCATGGGAATTTAACATTAAAGTTATATTATGTTCATAATATTCTTTAAGCTTATTATTTTCCATTGTTCTATTCATTTAATATTGTTCATATTCTTTTTGTTTATTTTTTATTTGTTTTAATTTATTATTGTTATTTATAAATAGAATTAAATATAATTTAATAATAATTAATATATTTTATAATATATTGATTTTTTTTATTGATTAATTTATAAATATTATTGATTTCCATAGTTGAAATCATGAGTTAATTAAAGTTAGACCACCAAAGAAAAGCTAGAAGCACTGGACAACCGTTTTGTCCTATTGTGGGACTCTTCAGTAGTGCGCATCCACGACCTCGCCTTGCGAGATTTGAACCAAGGATATACCAGCCACGCGCCAGAGCACTTAACCGATAAACCACTAAGCCGTCCAAGGCTTCCAGATTTTCCTTTATGGTCTAGCTTCAATTGATTCATGATCTCAACTATATGAAAGCAAATCATCATCTCGGACAGCGAATAGGCATAAAGGGGATCCTTCCCAATTTATCCAGTAAGGAAGCTACACGTTGACATTCTGCAATGTTCCTCTAGCGGTGATTGGATAGAATGCCTTCCGCTCTTTCTGGGCTTGTTTGAGTTTGCCAACGACTCATTCTTAGAAAATGAATATTTGTTTTTTGTAAAAAAAAAACTACTAAAAATTATTTTCTATGGTAAGTGTCAATGATGAAAATGTTAATTTTATCTCATCAAATATTTGAATAGTAAATAATTGATTCATTTGTACAATCTTATGACATTTGATAAAACCAGTCAAAAGAAAATTCTATGTATAAAACAATATTGAATATTTTGAAATTTCTGTCAGTAGTATATACAATAGAATAGTTTGTTTAATGCTAAAATTTATTTATTTATACATGCGACACATTTCGCCATCCAGTTCGTATGAGGACTGGGAGTGTTAGTGAGACATATATTTGATGTTTCATGCATGATGGTGTTGCTGCGTGCTGATTGGCTAATTCTAAACCGATCATCCCTGGCATATTATTGCAGAAAAATCTAGAAGCTTCCTATGTATATACTATAAATATATGAACGTTATTTAAACTAGTGTTTGCTGTTCACATACCATTGTTATTTTGAATACAATTTGATTCCTGTTCAAAGTGTTCTGATTTTGGGGTCTTGTCGAGTGTCATCGTATAAGAATACTAAGCAATAGGAATAGCTGGGTCGTTTATTAGCAAAATACAATTATAACAGGGGGACTAACCGAGTTCCTAGACCGAAACACGTGGATTTCTTAGGGGGTCACACACAGAGCCTTTGACCTAAAAGTCTAATCCACAAGGCAGTGGGACAACGTAAGGAGATTCAGTCACATGATAACCAGTGACCAACAATAGGTTCACAAGCCATTTATTACTTCAGAATCCTGGAGCACATGTACACCATTGGTTTGGAATCAGGGTTTGCCAACTCCCCTAGGTGGATCCTCCATATTCACAAACCCGGTTAAGGCCCCGAACATTCTCGTTTTGTCATCTCAACTCCGTAAACAATACTTCCGATGCGATAAGGCACTAATTAGAACCTATCTGACAGTTGTTGTATACTTGTGGCCATGTGAGAGCATTTCGAAAGAGAGAGGGAAGGCTGACTCTCCTCAGCCGCAACAGGGCATTCGGGGGCAATGACAACAGAGATAAGATGTAAAGTGTTACGAATAACAAGTACCAAAGTTCTCCATGTAGACAGTAACAAATTGATCTACTACCCAATACAAATGAATTTCACAACCCCCAAAACGTTTAGAAGTAGTCGAAAATAAAAACACGATTATTATCATTATTATTTTTATACCGATATCAGAAAACAAGTTCTTTTAAATAAAATTTTAGTCACATTGATATATATGTGAAAGAAAATTTGGCTGTTTTTTGTTAAAATATTCGGCATCAATGATAACTGTTTCATCATAAAGCTGGGAAGAACGAGTAAACACACCTGTAACAAGGATATTAATTATATGTGGAGGACTCATAAAATCAAATAAAAAGGCTAGTGTGGTGATCTAATACATTAGAAAACACACATGACATATTTTACAATAAATAGGATTAAACTAAAAAAAAGTTGAATTAGATCAGTCTCAAGTATAATCTGAGTGTTTGTATATGATGGTTATAAGTGAGATTCAATGGATATGTAAAATAATTGATATGATTGCCAAAATTACACATACGACAATCATGAATGGAAACCATGATGTAAAACAGTGACGTTTACTACAACAAAAAAAAAGAAAACGAGGTTTTATAATAACTGTTCAATGAATAAAAGAAGAAAAAACACTTGACAGATTAAGCATTTTAATACAATTTTCGTTATAAGTTGGTAATAAGTAGTATATCACCAGAATAACAAAATGTATTCAACATTTTTTTCATCTAAGTAAGAACTACTCTAATTTTCATACAGATGATCACTGTTTTGACTGTTAAAATTTAACTCATTTAATTCCACAACGAAACAAAACCTCACGTACTTTATTGTGAGAAGTTTGATAAAACGACTAGCCAGTTTCCTTAATTCAGTCTAGATTATGAATACAGTGATCCTGAGTGCTGTTAGTAGTATAAGGGCAGTTATTACTTCCCGGTTGCCCACACCGTGGAAGGGTTCTCTTATAGGTTCCTGAAAAGAAAATAGGGTTAGAATTAGTCTTAATGACCTGAGAGCGTGATCTCAGTGCCCAAGGGACAACTGCTTGAGGTCAGTCACACACATTCTCGTAATTTTTGTGTTAACTCCTTACTTGTTGGGACCTTACTGCCGGAGACGGATATCCGTGGGATAAGGATAGGTGTGCATTTTTAGGGTCGACCTTTTCTAACCCCACCTCTCCTTGTGTAAAGTTAGCATCGCTGTTATGCTATTTGTCTGAGGGAAACACCTTACCGCCGTCACACCTCTATGCAGTCAGCAGCGCGATTTCGCCTTCGGAGCTTGGGTTTGCTTCTATTAGTCTTACTGCTCTTCAACCGACCTGTCTGACATGTTAGAACCTTGAGGAACGATTGTTCGAGCCAGTATAGCTCCATTGGTTCATCACGATAGGCAAGCCCAACCACCATGTGAAAGTAGCAGCAACGATCGGGTTCCTTAATTGATATAAATTGTGTTAGATTCGGATCTACAAGTGAATATTCATTTCTTCAACCATAAAGGTTAAAAATTGTTTTAAGCCAAACAAAAAGATATCCTCTACTTTTACAGTTATAATAGTATAAACAATAAACCGCTTTCAGTTTGTAGGTTTTTAATTTCAGTCAAAAGAGAACTTTTGATTTTTAAAAAAGATTTTTTAAAACAAACTAGTTGTGTTATGACATTACTGTACTTTATGAGATCTTAAAAATAGAACATAATGAATACTGATTATGACGAAATTCCCTCCCAAATTATGATCAGTTTACTGATTACTGTCTCCCACGTTCACAGCCACATCTGGCTTGATCTTGTACAAATATTATTTTCTATTTTATGGTGTACTGCGGTCTCTCTGTCTGTTATATAAACCGAGTATGCTTGAAATAAATGATTCGCGTAGCAGAAACTGTAATTGGTGTTCTTGACTCAATGGGAAGGGCTACGCGGACAAGGGACCAATAAGAACGCTAGAGTGCTCATACCAGTTGAACGTCATTGATTTGACACAGTGTTAAGATTAGACAAGTCGTATTCGGATTGGTGGATAATTTACGTGATAAAAAGTTGGACATAAAACCACAACGAGTTGGATACGGACATGTTCTTTTTTAATAAAGTCATAACAGTCCACATATTATTTCGTCAAGGCTATACTGGTAGTTAAGTACTTTTCATAGACTGAATAAAAATATAACATTATTTTATATATTTTCAAATGAAAATTCCATTTAAAAATATTCTAAATAAATTGCAACACTTCAAATTAATAAAATGGCAAGACTAAACTTTGTGGACGACCTTTGAACGAATCTTAAATGACCTTGAGAAATATTAGCCAATCAGAAGACAGTTAGCATACAATAAAAATATATTATACGAAACTAAAAAATTAAAGCGGATACTGTCCTTTTACATGACTCAAAAACTTCTTAAGGTCAGATATAGGTTCAGAAGTTCTAAAATCATAGTGCATACGGTACAGGAACTCATCCATATGGCTCCATAGTAGTCGACCTCTGGAGACATGATAAGGCCTCAAAAATTCTTTTAGCCTCGACCACATAGCTTTAATGTTGTTAGTATGTTGGCATGGTTTAGGGTTAGGGTCTTAATCGTAATCGAGCGAAAAAGGTCATTTGAGTACCACAGTCAAAAGTATAGAAACTTCTTAATAATCTCTTCTTTTGTAGACGCTAAATTATCACGTCTCCTCTAAAATCCGCTGTAAAACGATCGTACGTAAGCATCAGGTACCGAACTTAGTGCCGTGACCTTGAAAACCCGCGAAAGCTTCTGATTGGCTCGTCCATAAAATTTAGTCCCGCCAACTAAAGCAGTTAATTGCTATATTTGCACAGAAAATAAATAAAATTATAAGTCAAAATATCAATATTTTCAATACATGAGAGATTGAATATGAATCAGAAATAAACTTAAGACATCTATATATTTTATGAGTCAATCAAGTAAATGAAAACACTTTTTTCTCACACTGAAAAAAATAAGCTTACCTAACATACTTTCCATGAAAGAATAATAATACAGCAACACTGAACATATTCCAATTCTCTTTATCTTGAAATCGCATTTTGTTGAAAGCATATGCCACATGACTATGGCAATTATCACAAAAAAGGTTATGCTAAAGGAAATAAGAATATTAAATTTTGTAAGAAGAACATTGAATATCAGGCAACTATTCAGACTAATAAAAGAAACCGGAATTAAGAAGTCAAGTGTAAGTGAGACAATCTCCGAAAAAGACGGAACCCTTATCTGCTCTCAACCTAAACGTTTAGAACGATGAGCGGAACACTTTAAGGAGCAGTTTAGCTGGCCTTCGGCTACTGCACAACTACCCACTATTCCCAGAAAACCTGAATGGAACATTGAAGTAGGCCCCCCGACCCTACTTGAAGTTCAAAAGGCTATAGGTAATCTGAAACGAGGAAGAGCAGTTGGTCCTGATGGATTGGCCCCAGAGGTCTTTAAATATGGTGGTTCAATTTTAGCGATTAGGTTGACTAATATTCTGGCTAAAATCTGGGAGACGGATGTAATCCCATCCGACTGGTCACAATCATTGATTTTCCCAATATATAAAAAGGGGTCAAAATCATCCTACGATAACCATAGAGGGATTAGTCTGACTAACATAGCATCTAAAATACTAGCCTCAATAATTATCGGGCGCCTAACTAAGACTCGTGAACTGCAAACACGAGAAAATCAGGCTGGCTTCAGACCTGGTCGTGGCTGTATCGACCACATATTCACTATTCGTCAAGTTTTAGAGCACAGACACGCTTATCGGTGTCCGACAATGATAGTTTTTCTTGACTTGAAAGCAGCATTTGACTCTGTAGACCGAGAGGTTCTGTGGCAGTGTCTGTCATTGGAAGGTGTACCTGAGAAGTACATAAACCTTGTAAAGGCTCTTTACTCGAACACTATTAGTCGAGTGAGAGCTTATGGCGAACTGTCATATGATTTTACAACCTCAAGTGGTGTCCGTCAAGGCTGTCCACTATCCCCGTTTTTGTTTAACTTCATTATAGACCTGTTGCTGGAAATAACACTCTCTTCGACTGAATCTACAGGAATTGATCTCCTACCAGGGGGACCACTAAGCGACTTAGAATACGCAGATGACATAGTCCTGTTTGGTGATAACGCTGGCAAAATGCAGAGTCTTCTGTTGGAACTCAGTAATAATGCCAGGATATTTGGGATGCGTTTCTCCCCATCCAAATGTAAATTGTTACTCCAGGACTGGCCTGCATCAACACCTGAACTAAGGATAGGGAGTGAAGTAGTCGAACGCGTTGACAACTTCACTTATCTTGGAAGTCTGATCAGCCCTAATGGGTTGGTGTCTGACGAAATCTCAGCACGGATTCTAAAAGCTCATTTGGCTTTTGCCAACTTACGTCACCTATGGCGTAGACGAGATATCCGTCTATCAATTAAGCGACGAGTATACTGCGCATCAGTTCGCTCTGTTCTACTTTACGGCTGTGAAACATGGCCATTAAGAGTAGAAGATAATCGTAGGTTACTAGTATTTGACCACAGATGCCTTAGAAATATTGCTCGCATCTGCTGGGATAACCGGGTAAGTAATAGTGAGGTTAGACGCAGGGTATTAGGGAACGATGGTAAATCAGTTGATGAGGTGATGAATCTTCATCGACTGAGATGGTTGGGCCATGTGTTACGTATGCCTGAACACCGATTACCACGACGCGCTATGATGACTAGTATTGGGGACGGTTGGAAGAGAGTTAGGGGCGGCCAAACCAAAACATGGCATCAGTGTTTGAAGTCACTAACTTCTAGTCTGAGCCATGTTGGCAGATGCAGACTACCTGGTTGGGGTCCGCGTGACTATCGTAACCAATGGTTGGAGACTCTAGGTGACATGGCTCAGAATCGATCACAATGGCGTAGGTGTATACACTCTTTATCTTCCTTTAAACCTTGAGACTAAAATTGCTTCATAACTTCCTTCCTGTACTATATCCTTATATACAACCTATAATTTATATACTACTACCAACACTAAATTAACTACTATGAATCCGGTGTTCATCTTGTTGTGCTAACGAGGTATGGCAATTTGGACCGATGCATATATGTGCCTGGTCCTACGTTGTAGCTGACTGACTGACATTGAATATTGAAGGCTTCACTAAACTATGATTTATAAGTCATTTATATATGATAGTAGAAAGATTAGATCATAATGAGAATAACCTACTGACTTTTAGAAAAATATGTCCATAGAATGAATATACTATTTGAAAACCAGGATACAAAATATCAGGTTTTCTATGTACTCACAGATGATTAATGTTGCTGTAACTCATTACTCAAGTAAAAGTTTGTGTTTTTGACTACTTGCGTATGTGTATACATGAAGACTGATGATATATCTCAATAGCCAGTAGAATGGTGTGAAAATTTTTAAGCCGGTATTTGAGGGTAAAATGTTTTAAGCAATGAATTATATCGATATTTTTAGACTTATTATCCTCTACAAAAAAAACTTGATAAAAATAGCTTGTATGTGCTAATTGTATTGTTGTGGTAGCTTAAATCTGATTCCTTTTTGATCGTATGAATGACTGTTTGTTGTCAAAATATAGGTACTGTCTATCGTCGTATGTAAAAAATGACTTAATCCGCTTTGGTGAACAGCGGAGTTAAATACGTCAAATACGAGAATGGATTTAGAATACGTATATTTTCTACACTCATTGATCTGGCCAGGGAATCAGTGCGATGAAGCGAACAGAAGAGAGAGAAGCAAAACGATGCGCGCTTTAGAGATGGCTGGTAAGCCAACTCGCTATAAGCAAGCATTAATCAATATTTATAGTCAGACAAAGATGAATGACAGACATATGATGAATAAGATACGAAGTGTGCATACACATACGCTCATATAAAAAGTAGTCAAGGTTAATAAGCGAATAATCAACACGATCAAAATATGACTCATAATGGATAAGCGAATTGGCTTGGCCAGAAGCTAGAATAAAGTATATGGTCTTAACATATAAATTGATACTAGTATTTCTACAAGTAAATATACGGCTAGCACATACATGTACGTCGTTCTCACAAATTATCTAGCAGTTGATATCGTTTGACCAATTTAAAATAAATACTGTCACTTTGTATTAGATCCTAACGGCATTTTAGACAAAATCAATATCACAAGTACAGGTAGGAATGAGTATTTTCTAATAAGTGACAAAAGTATCCTTAGTGTTTCTCATTCAAAAAATTAAACATCATTTAATCCCATGCAAAAAAGAGATATTTAAATTCTTTTATATGATTTAAAAGTAAATGTTGTTATATTCACGTGTGGAAGGCACGAATTCGATTCCCAGTCGAGTCGGCATTAGCCCCCAAATGCCCTGGTACGACTGAGAGTGAGGAGAGTCAGCTCTCTCTCGAAATGCTCTCACATGGACACAAGTATACAACAACTGTCAGATAGGTTCTAATTAGTGCCTTATCGCATCGGAAGTATTGTTTACGGAGTTGAGATGACAAAACGAGAATGTTCGGGGCCTTAACCGGGTTTGTGAATATGGAGGATCCACCTAGGGGAGTTGGCAAACCCTGATTCCAAACCAATGGTGTACATGTGCTCCAGGATTCTGAAGTAATAAATGGCTTGTGAACCTATTGTTGGTCACTGGTTATCATGTGACTGTATCTCCTTACGTTGTCCCACTGCCGTGTGGATTAGACTTTTAGGTCAAAGGCTCTGTGTGTGACCCCCTAAGAAATCTACCTGCTTCGGTCTGGGCAACTGTGCAGTTTTCCAGCTCACATATAGATCAAATGACTTGTGTGGCCTATATGTATTCGTAGCGCCTTGTACCAATATCCATGTATTCAAATAAAAAAACATATATATTCACACACTTAAACCTTGAGAAACATAACTCATTACAAGTAGATAAAATCTGAGCTATTTAAGACCTCGTAACCACATCTGAGCGCTTCAACCTCATAAAGCAACAAGTTAGATGTATAAGAGTGTTCTTTTAGGTTAGGTGTTTGTGCGAAAGGCAGAGATACTATTCAAAAGATGAATTGACTCCAAAACTTGAAACTCGGTTGCTGAAAACCGTGTGCTTAGACCACTAAGCTATACCTTAGTAACTTAATACAATACACTACAGCTAGACGATTTTTAAAAAGTTATGACAACATACCACGCGTCCTTTGTAAACTTCATTTGCTTCAGAGATAGCATTGTCCCAGATCTCTCGACTCCCTATCAGTCTAGCATGGGGCTGATAATACCTGAGGGAATTGAAGATCAGGCTATATTGTGAAACTTACATCGTTGGCCATCCAAAAGCCATTTGGTCTTCCTATAGAGAATTGTTAAAGTCATTACAACAGGGAACTGAAATTTACCCCAATAGTATAAGGGGCTGCAAAATCATATATAACACCATATGAATTAGCGATTCCCATATGTCCAATTACAGGAAAAAACCATCTTCATTAGTAGTGATGTTAGCACATATAACAGCATACGTTAACAAGGGAATTGGAGTCCATACAATGGAGTATGGAAATCGATGAAGTAAAGGAGTAACAGATTCTATCCTGCTTTCCATATTATAATGTCCAGGACTATGGAATTCAGGAGAGGAATCTAAGCTGCTTTTTTCTGCCTTCAAAAGTATAAAAAGATGAAAATAAGCACATATGATACGAAAGTAATTATGGTTAGAAATTTCCAAAACCAAGCTCAATAAGAAAGCTGGAATCCTAGGAAAATTTAAAAAACACAAGCATAGGTGTACATAGAAACTAAAAGCAGGATGAATGTTATGTAGTATCAATCACTGAGTACGCATGCTACATGGCAAGTGATAGAACGTAATAACAATTATTACCTCAACAATTGTAAATTCAGATCATTCATGGAGTAGAACAGGTAACCAACCGTGTGTTTAAAAAGTACAGTATATGACAATCAGTCCCCGTTAAAAATAGTGCTGCTGTTTAGAGAGGGAACTAGAAGGTTACAGTTTTTTGATACCAGTATTCAAACTAACCATCGAGTTCTAAGTAGACGACAGGTTAGTCAATGATCGTAATTATGTACTGACTGACAGAATTTATCATGTATGATAGACTGGCATCTACCATGGGAAGTGACTCTGATGGGGGTTAAACAAAAAACGATGTTCAGACTGCTAAATTATAATGCTTGATTTAGGAAATGGTCTATAAATCAAGATGCTGATCAATGTAGTAATGAACACTGGAACGCTCAGCTAAGATAGTGTCAAGTCAAACTGCTACGTATTTCGAATGTTAGCTGAGGGGTAAGACTATAATTCATGGACGACATTTGAGCGACGTTAGACTGACCTTGAGAGTGTCCACCAAATAGCCAGAACCAAATGAGGGTTAAAAACCTGTGTGAGGGACTAGGATTAATATTTACAGTTGATGGTTAGGGCTAGGAGATAGATTTCGGGTTTTCATCGCGAACCGGCATCAGCTATAATGCAGAAAATGTATTCATCCAAATGAGTGAGTGGATACCGAGCCAAAAACCAAAACCTGTTATCTCATACGTGATCAGTTCGTACATAAACTATAATCTCGCCGTCACACAGACCTCGCCCAAAAGTTATCCGTACCTTGACTTATAAAAACTGGTAGGAACAATTGTTCCTACCAGTTCTCGATTTTAAAATCGAGAAGGATTACGACGGTACAAACAGCAAAACAAGTCTTTCGAAAAATAAGCCACTAAAGGTCGTTGTTTCTCAAAAGAATATGATGATTCTTAGAAACTAACTGGACATCCCACTGAATATCACGATACGTATCGTGATATTCAGTGGATGGTACCATCTAACTAATTCCAACCAACATCTAATCAATCGTACTGATTGGTGGATTGGCATCAGAAAGATCAATGGAAGGCAAAACACTCTAGCCAAAGGTGCTGTTGAAATGGAAATGGGAATAAATGCCCTTTTCCAAGGAGAAAAAACCGTTAGGCAAGCAGAACTGTATGTAACGCATACTTTCATATCCCGGACCAAATTCAGTGTTTCCATTATCCAATATCTTAGTTGCGAATTTGTATTATTCGACTGATTTCCTTGAGCTATCTTCTTGTTATTTAGGTACGATTTGATGTATTTTGTCATGTACAATGGGTGTTAGTCTAACCACTTTATTGAACTTATTCCCCGTCACAAACTCCCAGTGGTTAAACACTGTCTCCACCAATCTCGTAGCCATGGGGTGTATTTGAGATACTCCTTCACCGTTCCGTAGTCTGCTTTAATGTAGATAACGTGGAAGAAATTCACGCCCATGCGAAGTATCTCGTTTTCGACCACGTGAAACATGAATTTACCATGGTCACTGTTAGAAATGACTTCCCACAGATGTTATTATAAACTAATCTCCCGACTGTCGATCATAGTCTTAGCTTAGTCAACATCACAACAAGTAAGCTACTTGGCTTGATAAGCTTTATCGGTTCCTTAATCTCAAATTAACGTTGTCAGTATACAAAATAAACAATTTATACAGTCTATTAAACCGGGAAAAACAGAGATATAAATAACGTACCTAACAGTAACTAGGTGGTAGAAAACGTAAGTCGACAAACCAAGTATCATTTATGACGAAGACAGAAATTGTGATTGATGAATAAACAAGGCATAGTTATACAAGGTTATAAGGGTTAATGTTATGGTGGGGACTAGTTGTCATTGATGGGTTCGTTTATCGACCACACTTAACAGTCATTTCACCCCATTGGTATGAAAACAGGAACTTCCTCAACTAGAAACAGACCATTCGTCAGTAAACCATCTAAGCTCGACAGTTTTTCGTCCCTATGCTGTCTCATGCAGCTACCACATATTCAGCCAGTCCAGAATTTCGAATATCCATGGCCAGTTGTTTTGTAACATTTGATCAAACCGTAGGTATGATAGTTGCATTATCGACTGCGTTGTCTCATCTTGTTGGGACTTTTATCTTCAGATCAAAGCGGAGGTACATGTTCTTGGTTTCTCCTAGTTTACCACCTATTCAGCTTTCACAACATTTGATGTAACTGGAGATGTAATTTCTTAAGCTGCATTTGTGCTGGTTGCCATTTACTAGCTCCAACACTCCATGAACCATCATGCTAATTGGTTCCCTTGTGTCCCCCGACCTTCTGGAGGCATTTCTTACGGAACACAGTTTTCCGTGTTTAACTCGAAATCGGGAGGATCATTTGACAGATGGTCTGTAAAATATCACTACAACTTCTTCCTTAACGTGTGCTAAATCTGGAATCACCAATAGTGGAGGAGATTTACCTTCCGGAACGTTTAGGCCTTTATACAGATGTCACTTTTTCCCTAAGGTGGTGTTCATTCTAAGCATTTATTATTTTTCCCATTGTTCTTTATTGAAGGCTGCCCTACTTTCTGGTAAGCTATCTTACGACACTGAATCACCAAATAAAGGCAGGTACTTTTGTTCAATGCCCTTTTTCACGATGTTTAGTGATTTGATAGCTATGACCAGTACACTTTCCTCCCGAATGCTCACCCTTTTCTCCTCATTGCCAACAGACACTGCAGTATTAGCAACAGCCAGTAATTTGATTGGTATACAAACTGAAGTTATGGCTCCCACAGTTGTGTGTTTGGTTGAGCCTGTCGTTAACGATCTGTATATACCGGTAGCGATTGATACGGTTACTGCCAATAAGGTCTTATGTCTCTATTAATAACAATAATAATAATATATTTCTGCATTAGCAGGTACACGCCATTTTTACAGGCATGATCTACAATTTACAACATATACTGGTTCACAGTATGCATCCCAAGCAAGCTTGTTTAGTAATTATAATCTATAAAAGTTGATAGCTGTTCTTCGTTCAGATATAATGTGTTTTCATAAGAATAGTTTCCAAAGGGGCATAGCGTCCACGTTATATACCAGATCCATTCTCGACAAAAAGTGTAATAGGGTTTCGGTTGAGCTAAGTATTTATTTAAGTTTATAGTTGTTATAAGGTAGGCTTGTGGAGCACCTGGTTAGAACTATGACCTTGGGAAAGCGCGTTCTTCGAGCTTGTTCCAGGTGTCAGAAATTACATAGCTTCAGCCTCAGAGCAAGATTCTGAAGCGAAAAAATATAAGAGAAACCGAGGAGCAGCAAGGCATTTGGATATGAGCGATAATCAATGCTTAACATTTATTAGTGGAACAGATAGAGGTATGACAAATTATTAGATTAAATTGATACTAGCTCATGTTGCAAGAGTAAACTGCGATTAGGGGCTCCAGAGGAGAGAATGCAGTTATAAAGAACGATGAGTTGTGATAATTATCAAGGTGGAATAGGTTCCAATGAAGGAGGGAAGTCAAGGTTGGAATGAGGAAGAACAGAGAGTGCATATAGAGAGTAGTGTTAAGTAAAATAGAAACCATATCCTTTACAGTCAGTTTTTTTCTTTTCTCATCCGATGCCTGCCACACAGTGTTCATGTAAAAGTCCGAGTTAGCATGTTAAAGGTTGTCTTAGTAGAATAGTTAATCCAGCACAAAAATTGGAAACATGAGTCTTAATGGTGAGTGTAGGTGAACAATCTCAATATCACAGATCTATTGACTTGTTCTCATCCATAAAGAGCCTGATACAAACAAAATGTTCTGCCCCACAAACACGGGTGGATTGAAATCATCGCCCACACCATCAGTGCTTGCTGGTCAGTAACTCCACCCTCCCTCCTTTTGTGATGTTAGGCTCATTTACGCTTATTTTTGGATACATATCATACCTCACACAATGCTCTGTGTTTCACATCCTGTTGGAAAACACTATTTCTATAAGTACCATGTTACAAGCTTATCAGACAGTTACAAATTATGGACTGTGGGTAAGGCTTCGATGCAATGTTTTTATTGACTATATAGTGAAGTGTAGGTTACGAATCAGAGTATAGGCATTAGGAAGGGTATAGTGTAGGATATTTCTTTACCATAGTAGGCGGAAAAGTGGAGATTTATATTAGTTACAGATAAGGTAAGATAACGAGTGGTGAAATAATATTAATGGCAAGACAACATAGTGTACGGATGAGTAAAAAACTGATAAATAGACAAGAAGTAACTCACACTAAATTGTTAGTTCCGTTAGTGCATTATTTCGACACTCCGGGCAAACTTGTCAGGACCACAAGCAGGGAAGAGATAACATTGTCCTGTTGTCCTGCCTGAACATTGAGGTACCACAGCAACAGTGGAGTGAGACACTAAAGGGAGTATATTGAGACGTTGAGTCGTTGGTTCTGACGACCGACGGATACGCGATAGGATTATCCTTCTGGTGTTTCTTCTGCTCAGCGGTGAGCATCTAAAACAGTTTATGGTGACCATTTTTTTATATTTCTGCCCTGCTAATAAATTTTACCAGGAGAAGAGACCTAAGTAGGAGTATGGTCGCGATTGTTTAGCTACAGTTTCAGCTTCAGTATATGATTTGACTGATACACAATGTACACATTAACCTGAGGTTCTGTGTTTGGTGTCGCTTTGAGCTTTGCCATAATCCTTAAGGAGACCTGTATATTCCAGAATACGTCAAGCAACATCTGTCCATGTGCATTGTATGCTTTTGTCTATCCTCCAGCTGCAGAAAACCAGTTTTATGATTTTAACGGTTGATCTATGGTTAGCAGTGAGTGGGTGTGTATATTTTTCCTATTCGTGACTGTGTAGAATTATGATCTATATCGTTATTAGTGTCGCTCTAATAATAGACCTAATCCTGAAATGGCAGATTTAGGATGATGTAACTGTCTAATCTATAAGATCTTACTTGGAAGTCACATAATTGTCTACACTGATTCATCGTATTGTAACAATTACTAATTTATGATGGAGAACACATTCAGGTTGAAGATAGAACGATATTTTTAATCCGAATAAAAGTGATAATGCAACACACAAGAATAGCGTCGCCTGCAAGGTTGAGCCATTCCATCCGGTTAATGTGAACTCCTTGAATTCTTTCTTCCCGATTTCCTCACTTCTGGATTTTTCTCCGTGTTAAATGTTGAATAATTGTTTTCTCGGTTGTCTCGTATTCAGCTTTGAGGATCATGTGGCTGGAGCCCAATGCCACTACACATATTCCAAAGTAAGCCATCTTTTCAATTTGAAGACTCCCATTCAAACCTTATGAAGTGTTCCTTCACTCCGCCGGTTCCGTACCCATTAAAGTATAGGCGTCTCGGGGGTGACCTTACATTGACTTTTAAGATTCATAACACTCCTGTTCATCCCGAAATACTTTCTTAATCTTAACTCCAACGAAAATCTTGAGGATAGCACTCGTAAGCCAGAGGCACACCATAGCAAACCGGACTGAAGATCCACCCTCTATTCTCTACGAGCAATCAAACCCTGTAATTAGCTGTCGTCTCATGTGGTCCAGTACACTTCTCAGGAGTCCTTGAAATGAAAAATTGACATATTCATAAGGACTCAAGATAGTCTTCCATCAAAATTTACTGATATTTCACTTTTGCTTGTTGAATATACTTAGGTCCATACCTGGAGACAATAATGGCTCACTTCTACTAGGTACGGAGGTCTGTCAAGTGAAATTTTTTCCTGTACGGCCAGATTGACCCAAAAGTCTTGAAGGTTTTCAATGACGGTCTAGCTTCAATTGACTCATGATCTCAACTCTACAAAATTACTAAAATTTCCACAAAACCCCTTCTGATAAAGGGGAAAATGACAAGAAACCCTGCAACAATTATTTTGAACCGCATGGTAACAACTCAATCCAAAGCTGTGAATACGACTTTGAAGGAAGTCAGAAGCGTGCGTATTTTAATTCTTTAAAACCTGAAGGAGCCGGTAGAAAAAGAGATTTCTGAACGATGCACACACCATATGTAGTCAGTGGAATCTATAGTTTGAAATGTATCTCTAGAATAGGCTTTGGGAGTACATATATAATGGAGGCCACTCCTAAGAATGTTTGTAAGTAGTATGTAATAGAACGTGACTTCAGAGCTGCAACAGT